ATATATATATAATTTGGGGCGTGTTTGGGGGCTCTGCAATAAAATTTCAAGTGTGTATATGAAACACTGGTTCAGTCACCTTAGGTAGAAAATGCAGGAAGAGCCACAGCAGCAAAAAGGTAAAAAGACTAAAACCTCTGGGTTTTCTACTAATACAGTTGTTTTGCACCTCCAGTGTTGGGCTGTGTCCTCATGAAGGTAATATGCAAGTACTGACATTCTCAAAGTTTGTATATCCATAGCCACATTAACACCCCTCACAATTGTAGTTTTACTTCTAATAAAGACTTGGAACTTGGAAGCTGTGTGCCACAATATTTTTTTCTTTTGCACATGGAAAGAGGCGAAGCAAACCCTGGACTTTCAATTGCAGGTGGAGGTGGAGCAGGTACATTTCCTAGTTCAATTCATAGTTCAACTGAAATGACACAGCTATGTAAAAATAGTATTCCCCCAAATAACTAGCAGTACAATGCACAGGAAACCAAGTCATGGTCATTACCTCTTTCAGACCAATAGCGTATGTCTGTGGCTCACAGCTCTCTCGGAGATTGAATGTTTTGTATAACTGTTTGGCAAGATGGCCATGGCAGCCTTCTCCAAAGATGGTGACTTTAGCGTGGAGTTCCAGACCACGTTCAAAAGTTGACTATAGGAATCAAAAGAGAGTGCCTATGTTAAGACATTTGCCTTATAACATTATATCTTATAGTGAAAACAAATGCTAATCTTTTAATATTAAGGACAGTACAAGATTAAAAATAGGCAGATACCCCCAAATACAAGTTATGATAAAGGATTAGCTTCTCTATAATATAATTAGGCATTTATAACATAGCTACAGAAGTGGTTGAGCACAGCCTCTCAACCAGGGTGCCTAAACATTTTCACAAACTGTCATGCTTTTACATGGTGCAGGCAGGCTGAGCACTACTACCATGGAAACGAAGAACACAAATCCAGGATGGGTGGGATCCATTCAGATTAAGACAGACGTTCACCTCCATCCAAGCTTGCTCTGCCTTCTGCCCTCCGTCATGCTGCTGCAGCTTCTGATGTGATGGTAGTACTCTGACGTGAAAGAGGGGGGCTCCAGTGTGAGAGGAGGGGACTGATGTGAAAGGAGGGGGTCCCAGATGTGAAGGGGAGTTCTGATGTGAAAGGGGGGTCTCTAATGTAGAAGGTAGGGGGCTCTGATGTGAAAAAGGGGTGTCCGATGTAAAAGGTCAACTTTTTGGGGGTTTTTTTGTGTGAAGTCCCTCCTTAAAATACATACCAGACCCCTAGCTCAGATAAGGATTTTGGAGTGACCACTTTTTAACATTTTTTTAGATTGGGGTGCCTCAAGATTTTGAGAGGAAAGCTTGAGAAACACCAGTTTACCACACCAAAAAACTGCAAATCACAAATCAGCTTTGATTTTTTTTTACCTTTGGTGAACCATCCTTGTGAATGCCTACATCATTTGTTGCAATACCTTTAACACTGCCATCCTCATGGAAAAGTACCTGGAAGTAAAGCAGAATGGACTTAGGGCTAGGGATCCTTCCATGTAAAACATGTCTATAGAAAATGTTTATTATTAATGATAACAACAACAACAACAACAACAATAGCAACAACAATATTATTATTATTACTACGAGAATTGTTGTGTAACATGAGAAGAAAGTCATCAACAGTGATGTTCAAGTACCTTTAGTTACATGTGAAAAAAGTCCCCACCTTGCAGGTGATGGCAGCCACCTTGGCCTCCTCATAATCCCAGGAATGTTTTAAATACAGAGGATGCATATAGCTGTATAGTAAGCCTCTGTCAGAATGTCTCTTAAGCATCATAGAATAAAATCCTTCTTTGAAATAATAGAGAGTACCAATACACAACCATATGCAGCATTTCTGCTCTATTAGACAGTGCATTCTTCTAATCATATAATATCATAAAATTAAATTCAGTACAGAAAAGCACAAACACTAAGCCTAACAATGACGTCAGACACCAGACAAGCAATGTAAAAGGGACACTTACCTCTGCTGCAGCATAGCCAGGGTAGATTTCAACCCCTAAAGCCTCTGCCTGCTCTCCAAGCCAACTGACAAAGTGTCCAAGCCTTACAATGTAATTCCCATGATTATTCATTGGAAGTCCTAGGGTTAATAAAGACATATCCATAAACATCATGGTCATAAGACCTCTTGCTCACAGTCATAAAATGACCTTTACAAAGGAAGCTCAGATGAATAACCTTATACTGCTAAAGGAACGACCTTGCAGAGTAAACAGAAATTGGATGTTGAGAGGGTTCCCTGTTACAGTCAAGGACAATTCCTATTCACTATTGTAAACTTTAAGGGCATTTCCACCTGCAAACTTATATTACTTAATAGTTTCCTGTTGTAAAAAGGAATTGTTAACCTCTTGTGCTACGTACCTTGTATCAATGGGCATACAAATGGTACAAACGTACTCAAGTTAACCATGCAAAATACTGTCTGCCTAAAAGAACCAGCTTTAGGGCAAGTACATATATGTCTGCTCTTTTGTGTTACTTTTTTTTACCAAATAAAAGGACATACTTTGAAATGTGTTGTTTTGGATCCAGTGAATGGCAAACAACTCAACAATAGCTGGCTTTAATATGGGCGATCCATCACGAAAGCAAATACATTCACATTTATGTATATGCCCATGTCCCGGTATGAGACATCCAGAACAAAAGTCTAATGTCTTTATCTCCCTAGATAATCCTTCTAAAGGGAGGAAGCAAAGTGTGATGGGATGGAGCAAGAGATACTAAGTATAACTTTTTACAACTGAGTGTAATTTTCATACTACGACAACTACTCTCTGTCAATCCCCTTTAATTCAACAAATTTACTGATCATGGGATCTGCTTTTACCTCGCACTCTAAGGCTCTGTTCACACCTAGGCGTAGTTTGTCGCGCGTTTCGTGATGCGCGTTTTTACCGCAATTTGCGGTAAAAAAAACACGCGACAAACGCACGTTTCCGAGGGCTACTTGGCTGTATCCCAATGGAAACGCGCGACAAAATCGCCCCAAAGTACATGTACATCTTTGGTCGTAGCGCGTTCAGACGGGCTGAAATACGGCAAGGTGTGAACCGTACCCATAGAAAACAATAGGATTTTCATGTTTGAGCGTTTTGTAGAGCGTTCGTAGAGCGTTGAACGCGCTACAAAACGTACAGGTGTGAACCAGGTAATACAAGATGCTAGTAAATGCATATGATTTTCAGGGCCAATTGGAAACATTTATTAAGAAATGAAGAGCACAAACAGAGCTGTACTATTCCTCACACTTTCCCTTAGGCAGAAACAAAACACAATATTAAAATATAATTAAAACAAGAAAAAAATATAAATAACATTTATCTCTAAGTAACATGCCTGTTTTATATGGCAAACTGCAGTACTGAAACATGTCTGTGAACTTTGCCCACTGACAAATGTAGAGAGCTTTGACCTGTGGCAATTTGTTATGTACAACTGAAAACCTCACGCCTCCGTATTTGTTTCATAGGGTGTAGTGATCCTTCTGTTGATACAGTATTATCCATTCTGCAAACACTAGAAGAAAACCATGCACAAATCATGGTAGATCTACTTCTACTCACTCAGAACACATTTTTGTAAACAACCTTTTAACTCGCACCAAGCAGCAAAAATGCATTTTCATATACAGATAATATCAGCTGAAATCAAGGGGGATTCAGTAGAAATATCCGTGTGCTGCGAAAGAGATTTTCCCTTCTACAAAATACGATTGCAGCACAGCAGTGTGACTTAAGCTGGCCATACACCTATAGATTTCCTGCAGATTTTCTATGGTCAGATGAAAAAAGTGCAACAGATTCCTCCCTCTACGCTAAACTGTGTGGATGGAGGAATCTCCCGCTGGGCCAAGCTTCAGTATCTTGCTAGTCAAAATACCTGAACCATCTGATTGGATGCAGGCATTGTTCAGGTACTTTGAGAGACAGCGGGGCTGACTAGCAAGAGTGCGAATCTGTCATTGATTTTGAGGGCCCGTTCACACTAGTGCAGAGCGATAATCGCACAGTCCTATGCAATCGCATCTACCACGCGTTCTTGTGTGGGAGGTGTGTTACGTTGCCATTCATTTGAATGGCATCCCAAACGCACCTCCCACCCACAGTCTGATCGCAGCGAGTCTTGGGTCGTGACTTAATGACCAAGGACAAACGTGGGTCCTGAGGTTACACTGGTTGAGAGCCACTGCTCAAAAACATGCCAAGTGTCTTTCATTTTATTAAAAAGGTGGAGTCTTTTATCTGCAGCATTCTTGTGCAAATGATTTTACATCCATTTAGCCTTGCAGGCAATTTCATAAAGCACTGTTGACATGATGACTTGTATACACGGCCATTTTCTTGTTTGAAAGTTTATTTTGTACCCAAATAGTCACATTTAAAGTCTGTGTATCCTGTTTAACAGCAATACCATCCACAGAGGATTTGTACAGAGGTGGATCTCTCCACATCCCTCACCTTCAGGTAATTTATGTTGCCAGCCTGTGTACTGCAATTATACATACGTGTTTTTTTGGCCACTCCAAGAGAGAGTGCATTATATACTCTGGTTGTCCAAGGTATGTTTTATTGAAATTCTTAGAGGCGTCCCTGTCTTTGCAGTATTGCAAATGCTATGATAATGGTGCACAACTGAGGAAAGTTTGGATAAAGCTAGTGTACAACATACATTTTAATTGCTCTATTTATTTAGACCTAAAACCCTAAAGAAGCTGCAAATTAAATGAAATATTTTCCTATATAATAAAGCCAAAACTCCTTATAGAATCACAAGCCACAAATACACAGCATCTTGGGACTGGAGGCTGGGTGTACTTTATACCAGACCTGCGCATTTTGCAGCCCCAAGGCCACATCCAGCTCTTTGGCTGTCCCTGTCGAGCCCGCGGTTCCGACACAGACTGAGTGGCGCTTCTGTTTGGCCCACGGACACTGACCTGCGCTCGGTTATGGCTGGCTGACCAGTAGCAGCTAATCAAAATCATATCATTTACTGCTTTTTATAAAGCGATAAAATGAAGTATGAGCAGAATTAAGTTTAGCCTTTTTGTTCAGCCCTCCACAACAGTTCGTTTGTCATGGGGCCCCCCCCCCTTTAAACTATGGGACAATACAAGGCCAAACCCCCACATTGGGCATGCATTCCTTAGGAAAAAAATATATACATCCTGCTGACCTGAAGTGTGTTGTATTCATAGGCACATTTTACCTGGGAGAATTGGCACTGGTATTCTGTGCTTCTGTGTTAGGATTCCAAACTTGTCTCCGGTCACCTTAGTGTTAAGAGGAGCCTAAGAAAGAAGACTTGGTTTTTAAAAAAAAGAGAGCTACCGTAGGAAATTCTGAGCACAGAAAAGTTTATGAACTAACAAAACAGAGTAATACACAGTTTCATAAGAAAGCAACCAGACATTATTGTTTGTTATTGCTTGTTTTTGTAAAATAAGGTTTTTAATATCAATGAGATCATAAACAGCAAAAACTGATCCAATAGAAAGCTTTCTTTAATAAATATACTGATATGAGTCATACCCCTCTCTCCTTCCAGTCTGGGAAAAGCTCCTCCAGGGCTCGGGGCTCCAGGCAGGCCCCTGAGAGTGTGTGAGCACCAATCTGGGCTGCTTTTTCTACCAGACATACACGCAGCTCTTTGTTGTTTTCAGCTGCAAGCTGCTTCAATCGTATGGCTGCAGACAAACCAGCTGGGCCAGCTCCAACTATTAGCACATCTGCTTCCTCTGCAAACCGTTCCATATTGATCTCTAACGAAGGAACAAAAAAATTAGTGGGTTCAGTTAGAAGCAAGAATCTTAAATAATCAATAAAAATACATATGGAACCTCGGAACCTTCTTTATCAATGTTTTTTTTTTGGTGGACTTTTACCCACTACAAACCTTACACCCCTCAGTCCACCCACTGCCTCCTTTCTTGCATAGGCAAGAATGACCTGTCCCTGCTCCTGCAGCCTACTGGAATATGACTGTCACATATCCCAAGATATACAGGAGAAAGTTCCTCTTTAAGGAACAAAGTCTGACTATCTACCATTCAGACTATCCAGATCATTCTTTCACTGTGATATAAATGGGAGAATCTGTTTGGTGGCTGTAGGCAACAAGTACACATTTTAATAAATGAGGTCTACCATAGCCCAAAAACATTTTCTGGCTCAGAGGGGGGAAATAAAGAATCAAATAAAAGGAAGAAAATTCACAGGCATGTTAGGAACGTGCTGTGTTATAAATGGGTTCCTGCAAACATTAGTAGGGCTTATTTTTATGCTACTGTCACCCTTACTTAACAGACTGAACTCTATCAGACAGCAAAGATGGCACCTTACAGAGTGCCATAATCAAATGGATTGATTGTAATCTCTTAAATCAAGAGCAAGTGACCCCAGAGGTGAATTCTAAGATCCCGAGCTCCCCCCTTAAAAATGGGTTACTGCAAACACTATGGACTCCTCTGTAATTACACAAGTGGTCCAAGTTATCGGACAGATGTGTTCTGTGGAAACCTTCAGTTGTTGCCTGGAAGCGACCGACAGTGTTAATTCTGCGTACAACAGAAATAACTAAATAAGAAGAGCCATTCAACAGATTACAATTTTACCAATAACAACTTAAGACATAGTACCTTGCCATCTGTTGTCCTCCTCACGTGAGCAAATGGTGTAGTGTGTAGTGATTCGAGGCACTGAGGATGAGGACCATCTCTTCAAGCAGAGTGTGGGCAGACATGTCTTCAGCGGCTTTAAGTGATACAAACACTGATGTGCTGCAGGTTAAAAAAATAAATTAAATTAAAATGTGTTTTTAACCCTTCTTTAAAAGGAGACTTGGAGGCTGCCATGGCTGAAAATTCTAGGGTCCTGCCATGCTGAGCATGTTGCTTCAATACTTTGACTCACTAAGCACAAGTATACAGATATACTCTGATTTTCTTAATCTGCAGAATTGTTCCAGGTCAGTGATGGCTAAACCACCATATTTTTTTAAGAACAAATTAATTGTGACTTGGCAGATCATTTTATTGTGCCTTTTCTGACATATCTGTTTTACACTCTGCCAAGTGCTCTGACCAACAACAACTGATCTGACATCTGAAACATGATTACACTGGTGACAAACAGGGTGAATGAAAGGATAATTGCACTTTAATACAGGGGTGGACAATTTAATATATCATTCAGGAGCAAGATTGTGCAATCCAGGAGCCAGCTCCATTGACAGCTAGAGGAAACCTCAATAGTTAGGCACCATATGTGATTTTTAGGATCACTGGCTACCTGGCTCCTAGGATTTGTCCAGCCCTGCTTTAATAAGAAGATCACATACATCAGCAATAATAATAAGCTTTTTACCGTGAGGTCTGGCACAGCCACCACAGCCTGTGCTCTACTCCGTTTACTCTGAGCACACATCTCCCACTGTGACCTTACTGGTGGTTCTGATGCTTAAAATTCACCTGTGCTTTGCCAATACAGGTTTGCTATCATGCCCACCTCTACTACTCCACTAGCAACGTTCAGTTGCCAGGAGCAAAGAAAATACCTGGAACTTCACGGTATAGAAGAGCAAGTGACTTATTCCCCTCATGTGACAGCATTGGTCCTTGGTAATTGGCTACTTAGACTACCAGTGCTGTCACATGAGAGATTCCTTAGCCCTTTATAACCTCCAACTAGAACCACTGGGAGCCTAACCAGAGCCTCCTTTCCTTGCTCCCAGTTGTCAAAAAGAGCAATAGGTGGGTTATATGCTCCTCGTAGGGCTGGTGCTTTAACCAAACAAAAACATAGTGTTACTATAGTGCACTCATTCTTTAAGCTTTGCCATCTGGAGACAAAGGCCTTGTTCAATCGATTCTGAAAATGAAACGTGCAAGAACTGCCAAGAATAACCAATCGCAGTCCAAAAGTTTATTAAAGGAATTTAGACAATGAGGGTGCTTGACGCCTTTTCTAGAGCTATAGCCACGGAGGAGGTGGATGCAGGACAGCATCCAGTTCTCTTGTTATGTCATACACTATCCCAAAGTTGCATATTGGCTGTGCCCAATGAATGCAGAACACCTGCCAAGATCTCCATTTTAGCATCAGTGTGAACTTGCTTGAGAGAATAGCAGTTTTGCAAAGTAATACAAACCACAAGTTCTCTGCCACGACCTGATTACTCATGTTGTCAACTTACTGCACTGATTTACTCATTAGTTCTACACTATACTGAACATTATTAACTTTTAATGGAGGCCACAGACAGAGGGCAAAAGGTTTTTTACTGGGAATCTTGTATTTATCATGTTAATATAACATGACAGTAATGAGCAATAACATTGTTAAAACAATCCTATTTCTCTCAGGAAAAGCAAGTACATAGATCAGAACTCTGGGCAGAGTTTTTTTTAATTAACCCTTGCAATGCAGCTAACCCCACACTGCAAGGGTTAACTGATGGTTTTTGTCTAGGTTAAAAAAAGAACAGTTAGACTCACCTGATCCTCGGAGCCAGCTTGCTTTTAGGGCCTGTTCACATGATATCAGGTCCGGATCAGGTGCGGATCTGCAGACGCGGTGCTACTGATGCAGTGCGTTTTTGATGCGTTCCAGTTAAACCCCTGGAGTGGGGCTGTCAGTATGTTAAAAAAATTAATTTTTTTTTTGCTGGAGTGGAGCTGTCAGTATGTTAGCTGCAGTGCAGTGCGTTTTTGACACGTTTTTGAAACGGTCCGGAAACGCAAACGCGTCAAAAACGTAACATACTGACAGCCCCACTCCAGCAAAACTGGTTACTGGAACGCATCAAAAAGGCGGCAAAACACATAGCACCGCGTCTGCTGATCCGCACCTGATCAGGACCTGAAACTCATGTGAACAGGCCCTTAGACCCTGGAGACTCTCTCCTCCTCTGCTGCAGTGGTCAAAGGTCCCGTAAATCAGCATGTTCTATACACAGTGCATTGGACATGAGGACGCAGAGGGACATTCCATTGCTGAAGTGGAGGATGAGGGAGGCTACAAGTAAAAGGTCAGTATATATTTGCTATTTTTGTCCCTAGACAAAAACAAGCACTTAACCCTTGCCAAGCAAGGGTTAAGACTATTTATGCCCGGATTTCTTCTTTAACATAGGAAGAGGTGTTCTGTAGTCCACAGAGAGAACTGGGAATAATGTTAAGTAATAAGAGTGCGGCAAAGAGCACAGAAAGTGATCAGCTAATTCAGGGCTGGTCAAATCCCAGGAGCCAGGTAGCCAATGTTCCTTAAAAATGACAGCTGATGTTTAAAATTAAGTCTCTGATCACGCATAGGTGTAGCGGGAATTCCCGTCACATTTGTGCGCATTTGTTTTCTGCATCTGCCCCTATTTGTTTCTATACATGTGGAAAGGTAGTGCATGTAGCAAAATCTGCAACATGCATTCCATGTTTCTTCAAGTTTGTACGCATATTCCCAGCCGCGTTTGGGCTGCCATAAACTAGTAATGGCAACGCAAATGCGTTTGTATGTGTTTTGTCACAGCGCAATTTTTTTTGCACATTTGATGCATGTTCTCGCTATGCCAAGGTGTGAACGGAGTCTTAGGCTGGGCACACACCTTACAACCATCGCAAGACTTTTGTCTTGCGATGGTTGTAAGGTACTTAAAAAAACATACGATCTGCCTATCTTGCATAGGCAGATCGTACTTGCGATGATCGCAAGCCACGCCCCCTGAGGGGCGGGCTTCCGATGACCGCAATGCCGAACGGGCAGTGTGCGCTTGCGCACACCGGCCCGTACGGCTGTTATCGTACGGACATGCCACAAACCCGCCGAACATCGTACGATGCTCGGCGGGTTTTCGAACATGTCCGTAAGTTTAAAGTTGTGCGACCTTACAGTAGTAGAGGTCGCACGGCTTCCACACACCTTACGATAATCGTACGATCGCGGGATTTCCCGCGATTATCGTAAGGTGTGTGGGCACCCTTAAGGTTTTCTGTAGTTGTTATCAGTGGAGCTGGCTCCTATTAACCGCTTCCCAGCCAGCCGTTGTAAAAAAACGGCCGGCCAGGAGCTTCCTGGATGCAACAGGCCGTGTATATACGGGCGGCCTGTTAGCGGCACGCGCAAGCGGGAAAGACACAAAATTTAAAAACAGGCAGATCTTCTTCATAAAGAGGACCTGTCACATATTTTGCTATCACATAGGGGGCTAAGAAACCCCCCCTATCTGATAGCAATAAAGTTAAGTGAAAAAAAAAATTTAAGTTTCCAAAAATAAAATGTAAGTCACACATAAAACAGAATTAAAAAAAATTATAATGTTTTGTAAAGTCCCCACCCATACATACACGTGTGCAAACATGCATCAGGTGCGCATACCTGCGAAAATGATGATTGCGCCGCAGAAAAACACCACTCCTGGTGTGAACAAGGAGACCTCTAATAAGGTGCACAGAAAATGCGCCCATTGAAATGACAACATAACGCATGATCATGAAAATTCACACTTTTGGAAACTGATGTTAATGTATCTAAAAATAACACTACAACTAGACTGGACAGGCTGCCTTATACTCTATATAATATTCTTGTCTCCCCTTTCCCAAATGACTTCAATACAACAACTTTCTGTGAACACAAGAAATATCATGTCACACAACAGACTAGAATGTATAAAAAGAAGATAAACAGGGTGAGGGTGAATCATTGTGGATTTGTTATGAAAGGCACACCACTCCATTGTGTAATCTCCAGTTCACCTGAAGGAGGAGTGTAAGTGAGATCAGATACATGTAAACAAGTCAGCATGGGCGACTAAGGGATTCTTATTAAAAGTGACTATAAAGGTGAACATTTCAATGTGACACACCTACAGGGGACCACAGAAACCAGAAGTGAGGGATGTTTTGTAATGATGACCTTTACCCTACATTGTAATGTGACCAGCAGAGGCAGTAATAGGGCTGCTGCACCCACATACAAGCCGTTACCAGACAAGGACACACATTCTGCGTTAGGTACATAATAGCCCCTGCACTGTAATTAAATATATACATGAAAAGTAGATGTCTACCTGTCAGGAGCAATGCCTACAGCTAGAGCAGGGGGTATGTATACATGACAAAGAAGGAGAATAAAGCAGAGCTTGAAAGGATAGGAAAACTAGCTCTGCATGTTCTAGCCCTGCCGCGGAGCCCATCGCGTCCTGCAGCGCGACCCAGCGCATCCTACCCCTGCTGCTGAACCCTGTATGTCCTATTACAGTGTGACAGTCCATGCTGAGATGGACAGAGCCAGTAAAGCTGGAGATCCGGTGTATACACACCCAGGGGTCACAGAGTCATCTGATATGCCTTCATCTTACCTCTAGCAGTATATCTGCAGAAATGTATACTCATGGTGGCAGATATCACGGTCACACACCACTACGAGGACATATAAGCTGACAGCTGACTCTCAGCTTCGCACTGTGAACTGACACACAGTTTAAACCACCCCACGCATGTGCAACAACAGCGCAAATGCTGCCGGGAGATGTAGTGCAGAACAGCGCACCAGAGGTCACATCCAACACAGGAAAACTACAACCATAGAAAAGCGGCAGGAGCGTCCATTTCATCGCAGCGCCACCTAGTGCTGACGGATAGCACAAGCGATTTAAGAGTAGCTGTCTGCATCGTTTGTTTAGCCTCTATTTAATGTACTGACTGTGGTGTGCTAAATAAAGTTTTTAGTAAGAAAAAAGAGAGTCCTGCGAAGTAAGAGGTGCTCTGATTGGCTGATATAAGCATGATATGTGATTGGCTGTATAGAAGCCGGGAGATCTAAGTCTTGGTTGAGGTGAAGTGGCAGCTGCAGTATTGGGAGATGGCGCAGTTTGTGCGAGGTGACCCGCAGGAGCTGCTGGAGGAGGTGGAGTTGCAGATTGATGATGTGAGTATAGTGTGTGTGGTAGAGATGTGATAGACGGATCACGTCTACTAATAGGACTGGGGATGGATAGGGATTCATCACGTCATATCTGGTACCTGTACCACACACTGGCTCTCCTCTACTTTTACGTTATTTAAACCGAGGAGCACGTAGACACATTTCTTATAAGGACATATAAACCGACTTTATTCTCCTGTGTTTTGTGTGTTTACATGCTTTCATCCACAGGGCTTGTTCACACTAGCTGCACTGTAAAATGTGCTGGCTTACATTGTGGCTATTGTCCGATAGGTGGAAGTGCAGAGCTGAGGTGCATATTATTGTTACAATAAAAGCCACTGTTTACTTTTTTTTTTGGTAACTTTATTCAGATTGAACAAAGTGTACACTCCATTCATGGATTGTCATGGCAGCACTTTACATTACACTGTGGTGGGGTGACTTTCTGTGTCATTTAGTGCATTGTGGGGAAAAATGTGGTATGATTGCAATTTTATCACAGCCCATCACAAGTCACGCCTGCATTATGGGTTTATAAATTGTTTTCTATGAGCCCTAGTGAGTGAGCAAAAACGCCAGTCATCGCACCGAATATAAAGGGGTCCTTAGAGTTTCTAATCGGACCTTGGATGCACAGAATTGCATCAAGCTAAACTGAGTGCACATGAATGCAGGCAGACACTTAGAGGGTTATTCACTAAAGGGTGAAGAGTTTGGAGAAGGCAGGAGAAGTGAACAATCTAGCACAACATAGCTGAAATAGAGAATTTTACCAAATCGGCTATGTTTTCCTAGATTGTTCACTTCTCCTACCTTCTCCAAACTCTTCACCCTTTTGTGAGTAACCCTGTTAGTGTTTATTACACCATTAGGCCTCATGCGCATGGCTGTAATATACTGATAATCTGTGCACAATCTTTCTGGCAGGTGTTTGCAAAAAGATCCTGTGTAAAGGGGGGGAAAAAAAAGAAGCATGGACTGGTCAGTAAAGTGCTTGTGTTTATACAGATATAGATGCAAAACCTTTTCATATGACATATAGCTGTGTAAAATTCTGCTTCCATAGCAATACATTTAATGTACAGGCATACACAATGATGAAAACAAATCTGCATAAGCCTGTGACATTTGTTTTATTAATTTATGTGTTTAAACCCATAAGGAGGTGTCCTCTGTGGTTGGAGAGTGCATAGAGTCAGACTGGCAAATGTTTGCTTAAAGGAGAACTATGGGGTCAGTGCTTTTCCCCATAGTTCTCCTAAGGGTAACTGAAGGACACAAACTAGCGTCACCCAAAGCTCCCAAAACTAGCGTCACCCAAAGATGCCGGGACGGATCCCGACAATGCTGTCTGAATTCACCCAGCTGCATGAGTGACAGCTGGCTCTGCCTATCTAGAGGCAGAGCCAGCTGTACCCGCCCCCTCCCCCGTCCCTTCCGCCAGTCAGTGCTGGAGGATCGGAGGGAGGGGAATCCCTGCAGGGAGCCGTGAGTGACAGTCACGGCTCTCTGCATGGATAGATCAAGAAGCGAGCAAGCGACTGTATTTGTTCGCTCACTTCCCGATCTACTGAGCCGACCAGTGACAGTTTCATTGTCACAGGTCGGCTAGCACTATGAGGCTGAGTGATTTTCACTCGCCTCATAGTCCTCCTTTGAATATGATCCACCTATTTCTTTGGCATCGCTTCTTTCCTGTGAAGTGAGATTCGGTTTATGATGCTTCTGCACTGTATCTTACTTTTTTCTGCTATATGTCAAATGTTGTCTTAAGCTGGGTTGCGTCACCTCTTCCATAATTGCCAAGCACAGATATGAGATTTAAAAGCAGAACTCTGGGCATCATTTTTCTTAACCCTTGCGGTGGGGCTACCCACGCACTGCAAGGGATAAGTGCTCATTTTTGCCTAGGTGCCAAAAAAAGGTTACAGAGCTGGCTTGCTTTTAGATCGGTCCCTGGAACCTCTTTCCACCTCCACTGCAGCGGTCTAAAGTCCTGTAAATCATCATGTTCTATGCATAGTGTATAGATGTGAGGACGCTGAGGAATATTCCAACGCTGCAGCGTAGGAAGAGAGACCTTAGTATCATCCCCTTCTTCTTTTCCTTTTTTATATATAGGCTATATATTCATTATGTAAATGTATTCTAGTCAAATGCAGTAAGACGGTACTATTTTAATATTGCTGTGACTGTATTACAGGCTGCCTTTTCATTGACCAAGCTGCTTGAAGCAACATCAGCCTTATCATCCCAGGTGGAAGAGCTTGCATCTAAATGCACAGAAAATGCCCGATTCCTGAAGGCCTGGCGAAACCTCTTGAAAGAGGGTTATCAATCTTTGCAGCCGAGCACTGCAGTTGTGGCTGAACTTCCAGTATCTGGGCAATGATGTACCTTTCTCATCTCCTCTGACAGGCTACCATGCATCTTAAAGGCTAGCCTACATGGATGTTTAAGGTGTCTTAACCATGCGCTTGCTACACGTTCACATTCAGGAATAACGATGAAGCACAAACTAAACCTGAAAGCGAGGGTATACTAGCCCTAAAGGTCGAATTTTACATTTAACAGCACCATTCTGGGACATTTTTTCAGACTTTTGCTTGTGTGCTGCTTTTTCAGAAGCCGCATGTTTTTTTTTATTTGTGTAAAATATATCTGAATGTTTAGTAATAACTCCAGTTTTGGATAAAATGTGTACATGTAAGTATGATCAGTATTGCAGGGCCAGAGCATTTCCTGGAGCCATGTGACCAATGTGCCTTAGAAATTGCAGCTGGAGTGAATGTCTTTTTGTATTGTCTTCTATTGCTGTAAGTCCCCATTCACACCTAAGCATAGCGGGAACTCGTGATGCGTTTGTGTGTGATTGTTTTGCATGTTTGCCACAATCCCCCCCCCCCAATAATGTTTGTTTGTATTCAGATGTGATACAATATGTAGTTTATTCCATCTATAAGAATTATTCAACGCAAGACTAATAAATTATTACTTTAATTTTTTGTTTTCTTTTAACTGAAAACTTGGAATAGTTAGTTACATATTATATAGAAACATTGTTCATTGTTGAGAAACATAGTTATATATTCTGAGTGGTGTGTTTTTAAAGCACTGAACAGTAACTGACCTCCCCATCAATTTTACCTAGCTCCAATCTAGCCTAATCCAGCCACAAATAGACATGCCTTTCTATTATGGGTGGTTATGGAAAAGTCATGTCCCATTTATACTTTCTTTCTTGGCATAAACCCCCACAAACTAAATTTTACCACATACAGATGTTTACCCATAATAACGTAATGCAACCTTTCACGTTTTAGAGATATGTGTTTGCATACTTCTCTGAACAATTATGTAATTTCATTCATGTAGTCATTAATGACCCAACTTGCGAGCCCCAATAAATTACCTTCTTATGATAAAATGGGCCCTAATGCATTTTCTAAACCCATAAACAAATATGTAATACAGTATGTTGTAGTTTACTAATCCTTAGGCCCCTTTCAGATGGGGATTCCGATCAGGCCAGCCTGCCAGTTTTTCATGGTCTTTTAAGCAGATTAAGTGACGTGTTTCCTGTGTGTGGGGGAGGAGATTCCATCTCGTGATGCTGTCCTGGAAGACTAATGGAAATAGAGTTACCGGTAAGTCCTAACTCTGAATTTTTCCTCCATCGCGAGATGGAGGAAGGTACTGGATAGACACGACTGTCACAATGGTGACATCTGTTCCAAACTGTTAGGATCAGCAGGGAATCCGTGCCCGGATCCCCTAATAATTGGAACTGACAGTCTTCCATGTGAAAGGGTGATAGGATTAGTATTTTACAAAAGCAAGATACACTATGTGCTTCCTGTTTAGTTTGCAGGAAGTGACAAGATCAATGGGTAGCATACAAGACATGATGACTCCTCCCCAAGCAGGAAATGTGTTGCACCCATTAATTTAAAATAACCGCCTCCCACTTCCCTCCTCCGTTTTAGTTTTTCCCCTGTCAGGAGGATACG